ATATGCATACATAATTTTATTGTAAGGATGCCGATTGAAATTAATAAAAATCAATGTTTCTTGCACGACGGTCGATTTCTTCTGTCATGATTGAAGGTGCTGCCACATATTTTGTTGTCGCTTATGATTGTCACTGTGTCATGATTTCGTTAAAATTTTTGTAAAGTTCCTTACCACACTTACGATTGCTATAAATTTTGCTGTCTTCAAACTAAAAACAAAAGCACCACAAACGCATCAAACACCAAAGTCAAAAATGATCGCGTTTTGAATACCCACTAAATTTAGCGCGAAAAGCATTAAGTTGGCAACAGTGAATGTAAACAAAAGTATTGTATGACGTCAGCGATTGGGTGGATGCTGTCAAATCGACGAAGAGAGGGTTAGCGGTCCGCGAATGGCTCAAACTTTATTTTCGGGATCGTGGTTCTATATATCCGGTCGATGAGTAGTTTCTGGTTTAAGCAAGATTCATAGTCGATTGCAAAAGTTCTCAGGTGCCGTCAAGGTCTGTAGCTTTTCGACGTCGAACATTCGTCGCGCCTACCACAACATTATCAATTAGGTTTTTCGTCTTTGATCAGGGGACACCCAAATGGTTTTATTGTTGTTGTGGATGAGCCGCTCTCCGTTATCTTTCTCATTGAAGCTTCCCGGCAATTGTTAGGCGGATACTGTTCCACGGGATATTGGTTCGGTGGACAGCAATGAAGAAGAAAGCATTTCTTAAAATAATGGAAAATGTATACATATAGACATGGCATATATACTTTTATTGGTATGAGACGGGCACTCAAGACTACACTGATGGCAGCACTCTACACCTGGTTATATGATTCCCCGGCGTTCAAAACTGCCGCCAAGGTTAAAACTACTTGGCAGTTTGTATGCGGTTCCTGCTATTTTTTATTTATCACAATAGTATAGCGTCAACACTATGTGGACTACAGGCTGGCGTGAGGACATGAAGAGGGCTAGCTCTGTAAATAATTACATAGATGGGACGAAGGTGGACCAGCTTGCAGTAGGCGCAGCAGTGCATGCACAACATACGATGATAAGCTTTCAAAGCTTGTCTGATCTCCTAAGAAGGCGAACGTAAGACTAGTGGTTGTAGTACTAACAGGACTCGGTTTGTCGATTTCACAAGGAGAGTTCACTGTTTTTGCATAAAAGGTCGTAGTTTTTCTGAAAGCGCAATGAACTCCAAAGTCATGCAGTGGTTTTACAGCCTAACCTAACCTACCGAAATTTGCAATTTTTTACCTCTTGCTGGATGAAAAGAAGTTTTGCCAGGATCTCAGTTGTAAAAAAATTAGTATAAACTTAACTCTTCAATTTCTCAAAACTCTAAATAATACCCAAAAACGGGTATAAATATGTAAGTGCAGTTTGCTTGTGAATGAAACCGTTTTTTTTTT